TTTTTTATTTGAATAAGTAAATTAATTTGAGCTAAATTTTTTTTCACGCTCAAACTTGGCTCGGTTATGTAATCGAGTTGGCTTGAGCCGAGCTCAATTCTTTAAGCTATACTTGAGCTTGAGTTCAATTAATTCTTAATAAACAAACTTGAATACTCAAAATCCCTAGTCCAAACATAGGACGCTTGTCTGTGAAGTGTCTTGCAAAAAAAAATAAAAATAAAAATAAAAATAAAAATAAAAGAATAATAATAATAGACATTCCACGTGGTGGACACGCATGTCCTTGAAGGGTCAGTGTCCCATACCTATCTGACGCGGACACAACAACCATTTTGAAGTGTTGGTACTTCATAGCTTACAACCAATACCTCGGTAGAATTTTCACATCAAACTCTTGTACTCCACGGCAAGTTGCCAACAATTCCCGATCCCCGTAACACAAGTGGCTTGGAACCACTAGTCGACTGTCTCTTGAATATGGTTTTTATCTCCCATTGAATCTTGCAAGACTTTAGCTTTGTTGCAACGACTCCAGCCAACTTTTGCAAATTGAAAATATAAAATAAAATAACGATCTCTCTCATAAAAATAAAAAAACAAAATGATTGTTTCAAGAAAAAAAAAATTCTTCTTCTCTCTCTGCAATCTCTCTCTACGAATACTCTCACATACAAACAATCAGCCATAGACGACTCTATCATTATTCTTCTATCAGGTTCAATATATATATTTTTTAAATTATGTTTCAATTTATTTAGATGTTAGTTGTAAGGTGTATATATATATATATATGAAACTCTATGAAATCACATTTAATGTATAAGAGAACATACATGCATATATATATGAGGGCTACTATTAGCACCCCATAAATTATTTTGGACCCCCCAATTTTTAAATTTTTTTTAATTACAATAATAACCTCAAATAAAATTACTATAAAGGACATCATTAATTTTGGGACACCCCATCTCACAATTAAACCTACACACCCACTACATCATGAATTAGGGTTTATGAGAGTACCCACCTCCATCACCACCCACCCATCTTCCCCAAATCCCAGCTTCAAAATCTACCCACCCTCAAAACCTTGAAAACCTTTTGGCGGCAATATTCCAACGGTAACAATGGCAGCCATTTGATTATCCACACTTCTTCGGCAATGACTATGAGTGAAAGTTTGTTTGGCAATCATAACTCCATAAGCCGAGAGAAGTACAACAATAAAAGCTTAGAGGAGGTTCATAGCTTTGATGTTGTTTTTAGCTTAGAGGAGATTGACCTTTTAAGGGTAAGTTTCTTGAAAAAAATGGCAAAAAAAAATAAAATCTGTTTGTTATTTTTTCGGGACTGAACTTCCAAACATATAACCGAAATTCAGGAACACAAGCCCGAACATTGTTTATTTGTTTGGAAATAGGTAACCAAACATTATTTATAGGTTCAGACCTGTTTTACTAAGAAAACTAAATCAATTATTATCAATTTTTTTTGTAAGAGAATAAATTATTATGAGAAAATTATCAAATTATGTATATATATATATATATATATGTATAGAGAGAGAGAGAGAGCATACCAATTGTGACAATGGTGGATAAGGTAGTAGATACAGTAATCACATTGCCTCTTTTTCTTCTTCTTCGTGGGCTTTGTTACGGTTTTTTGGAAGTGGGGTTTTTTTGGAGTGTAGGGGTGTAGGGGCGTGCGTTCAATGGGGGGAATATTTTTACAAGGATAATTTTGGTATTATTTTTGGAGGGGGGGAGGGAAGAATTTTTAAGGGTTTCAAAATTTATAAGTGGGGGTCTAAAGAAATGAGAGGTTCAAAATAATTCATGGGGTGCTGATAGCACTACTCTATTCTTAATCGTAAAAAATAGGGTAAATTAAACTAACCTTCCATGAGATTTGGAGAAAATATAGTTAGTTCCACGCATTTGACATAAATACATTGGACTCCCATAAAGTTTTAATTTACATAACAATTGGTCCCTTTTTGTTAGTCATATGGATGAAAAAATGATGTTGTCATCTCTTTTACTCTGAAATGTATATTTTAACTCGTTTTTCTTTGTATTGTCACACCGTTTGTCTTTACATTACGTTAGTTATAGTCCCTTTAGCCTTATTAAAAGGGAGGCTGAGATGTAATAATGTTAAAACGGTGACACTTGTTGTATTTCCGTCAAACTTTAGGGGAGGTTAGTGCAATTTAACCCTAAAAAATATTAGTATATGCCTTGAAAAAAGAAAAAAAAAAAACCCTAGGATGCTGTGGGATATTTTGTTCTTGGATGATTAAGACACATTAACACAATGACATAGGTGGCATAAATATTGTTATTCAGGCTCGGTGACAACATACTGGTGGACTCGTACTGTTATGGTCTATGAAGTACGGACATAGACACGGACACGACACAAACACACTGACATGCAAATTTTCAAAAAATGAGAGATACAACATGCTAGAGACAAGCTCAATATATATATATTTATTATATGTAAAATTAAAAGATATATTATTTTTATTTATTTACTTTAATATTAAATATTATTCACAAATTAATTTTTTTCCCTATAAACACAAATAATTTATTCCATGTATGTTAATATTTAGCAAAAAAGAATATCCAAAAGAAAAAAGGAAAAAAAAGGGAAATAAAGGTTTTTGTTATAAAAAAAACTATAAAAAAGGTTTCATCAGAGAGAGAGAGAGAGAGAGAAAAGAAAAAACGAATGGAAAAGAGAGAGTCAAATACGCATACAAGGAGAGAGAGAGAGGGAATCGAACACAACGATAGAGAGAGAGAGAGAGGAACAAACAGACACAGTGATGGAGAGTGACAAACAGAAGAAAGGATGAAAGAAGAAGAAAATGCAGAAAACAGAAGAAAGGATGAAAAAAGAAGAAAAACGAAGAAAAGATGAAAATCGAAGAACAGATTCGAAGAAGATACCTCGATCTAGCCTCGATCTAGGGCTTTAACAGGTTCTTCACTCTCTCTCTCTCTCTCTCTCTCTCTCTCTCTATTTCCAACGTGTCCGTAAGGTGTCCCAAGCGTGTCTGGCTGCAAAAATAAGAAATAAATAAATAAGGGGACACGTTAGGTAGAGTGTCCGACACGTGTCCACCGCATGTCTGACGCGTGTCCGTGTCCGACATGTGTCGGACACCCATACTTGCTTCCGGAGAGGCGTCTGTGCTTCATAGGGTGTAGGCTTGGGACTTGGGAGTTTGCTCCTCTCTAGATGTTAGGTTCGAAACCTTTTAGGTGCTATCAACCCTTGTATTGGGCTAGTCAATATAGAGCTCTGCTCCGAATTAGTTGAGGTGGGATTGGTCCCCCTAGGGATTAGTCAAGGCGAGCGCAAACTGGCCCGGACACCCTGAGTTGTTAAAAAAAAAAAAGAAAAAAAGTTAAACCTTTGATTATGTGTTTCGTCATAAGGCTTTAATGCATTGTTTGTTGATCTACATCACAATGGATGGGTCTTCCCATTTATTCTCTTAAGGAAGATTGCTTGACAAATCCAACTTTCATCCTATGAAAAGCTTTACTTAAAAAAGTCTCTTAACTGTACAATAACCCCAATAAGACTACCATCTGCTAGTAGTACCTGAAGTATTGTATCAATTATAAAAGAAATAGTTGCAATAGTAGATATACTATTTTCACATTGAAAATGAAAAAACCTGTGTGTTTTTGGGATATGCATTGTTCACAGAACTGCCAATTGCTATGTTACTGATTTAATCGAAGAGGAACACACTGTATTTTGTTCCTTATCTTGAGTACAGTTATCATTTTCTTGTTTAGGTTGACATTGAAGTCATGGTTACTGCTGGAACTCCAATCCAGAAGGTGGTTTTACAGGAGGTTACAACTTGTAATGCAACTTGGGTTGTACTCGATAGGTAATTTTCTTTTTCTGGTTCCTTTATGTTTATGAATTTCAACTAATTAGGATGTTTAACATGCCATCCACTGATGAATTTTAAGTTTGTTTTGTTCTTTCTGTCACTTCTTAACACTACATAGATCTAGTGGTGAACTGCAAGTTGTAATATCACATGTTCTTCTGTAGTTTAATTGAAATAGGGTTCAATTGTGGATGTGTTGATATGCTAACACATTGCGAGGTTGAAATTTTCATTTTTCTTGTCATTTAGATAGTTATAGCAGCTTAACTCAATTTGGTGGTTCTGTTTGATCACTTTTTGGTTTAAGAAAATGTTTGCTAAAGTTATATAGAAAATAATGAAAATGCGAAATGCATACATAATCTAGCTTGGATGTGTGTGGTTGAATAGGCTCAACAAAGCTATTATCAATCAATTAAACTTTTCTGCCCTGTTTAAATTCTCTGTGTAACTGTTAAACAAGATAATAACAGAAGTATAACATCCACATATTGAACATATCGATTTTTATGTGGAAACCCTCTAAAGGGGAAAAACCATGGCCATTTTTTTTGATAGTAATAATCCACTATTCAACGAGATTACTATAATACTCAAGTAATGACTTACAACCACTATTCAATGAGATTAATACAAGACTCAAGTAATGACTTACAACCTAAGAAGCATGGACACCATACAATGAAAAAATTATTTTTTACATCTCTTTATTGGTAATGTATATAAATATAAATTTAGTGTACAACAATATAAGAGACATCAATGTATATGTGGATATATATACATATATATATTTTCCCCATATATTTTACTTTGACCTCACACCATCTTTCTAAAATTATAAAGAAGTAACTCACAAATGTGCCTTGACAAGCGTCCAAACATAGGACATCCATGTCTGTGAAGTGTCACGCAAAAAAATAATAAATTGAAATAATTGGCATGCCACGCGGTAGACACACGTGTCCTCGAAGTGTCAGTGTCTCATATATATCCAACACGGACACGACGACAGCAAGCACCAACAAAGAAGAAGAGAAGACGAAGGAGAATAAGGGAAACAAAAAAAAAAAACCCCAGCATCATAGCGATGAAGAAACAGAAGGAAAAAAAAAAAAAGAAAAAAAAAGAGAGACGAGACGACATCAAGCAGACGAAGAAGAAGAAGAAGACTAACCTGTAGCCGAAGCCGAAGTCGAAGTCTTCAATCAAAGACGAAGTTGCAATCGTATTGTGCTGCAGAATGCGCGATGAGAAGAGATGACATTGAAAAATTTTAGGGCTTCGACTCTCGTATGTGTTGTATGAGTTGCAATCGTATGTGTTGGACCCATTCAAACTCAGATCAGAGCCATCGATAAGCATCAGGGGGCAAAAAAAAAAAAAAACAGAAAGGCACGCTTAAGCGTCGCCTTGCGCCTGTTCGCGCCTGGCCCAAGGCTCGGCCTAGGCGCGCGACTCATCTACCTCGCCTCGCCTCGCCTCGCCTTGGGTCTCTTTAGTTGCCGAAGTTGCGCTTGGATGCGGCTTGCGTCTAGGCGCGCCTTTCACAACATTGCTTACAACCACTATTCAAGGAGAATAAATACAAGACTCAAGTAATGATTTACAACCTAAGAAGCATGGACACAATAGGGTGAAAAAATATTTTATACATATCTTTATTTGCCATATATATGATTATAAATTTAGTGCATAGAAATGTAATAGACATTAATGTATATGTGGATATATATATTTCCATGTATTTTACTTTGATCCCAAACCATTTTTCTAAAATTATATAAAAGAAACTTGCAAATGTGTCTTGAGGTGTGTCCAAACTAGGGTGGCAAACAAACCGAGTTGTTCATGGATAGCTCTAGCTCAGCTCGTTTGATTTCAGTTCATTTACTGCATGAACAAGCTCATGCTCGATTTTTAGGCTCGTTTATTAATCGAGCTGAGCTTGAGTTGCCCTGAGCTTGGCTCGATATGGCTTGTGAACATAAAGAAACTAAATTAATATTTAATTTTAATCTATGAAGAACGGACACATCTCCGAAGGCAGCGTATGGGTGTCCGACACATGTTGGACATGGACACGCTTCAGACACGTGGTGGACACATGTCCGACACTCTATGGGAGGTGTCCCCTTTTTGGCAGTTGGACTCGCTTGGGACATGCTTGGACACGTTCGGGACACGATTCTTAACAAAATCCCTTGCCTGTTGGTCGACAAAGAGAGAGAGAAGAGAAAGAACGTGAAGAAGAACCTGAACATGTTGAAGCTCAAGAGGGTGAGGGTGAAGTTGAAGCCCTAGATTGACGTATGTCCTCCTTGTTCTTCTTTGCTTCGTTTTTCTTCTTCGTTCATCACTTCGAAGGTCGTCTCTCTCTCTGTCACAGTTCGTCTCTCTCTCTCTCTCGTAGATCGTCTCTCTGTGTTTTTCGTCGTCTCCCCCTCTCTGCTTTTCCCTTTTTGTTTTTCGTCTCTCGTTGATCGTCTCCCTCTCTTTGTTTTTCTCTCTCTCCCTTTTTATTTATTTTTTTCGTTTTCTTCTCATGAAAGACTCTCTCTCTCCCTTTTTATTTATTTATTTCTTTTTATTCTCATGAAAGATTGAAAATAGTTTTTTTTAAGTTTTTTTATAACAAAAACCCTACTTTTTATTTATTTATTTATACCTAAGACCCTCTTTTTTCCCTCTTTTTATTTTTTCTATTTTTTATTTTTTTAATTTTATACATATAATAAATAAATAATATTATGTATATTGAACGTGTCCCCAGCGTGTCGTGTTCCCTCGTTTTTTGAAAATTTGTGTGTCCACGTGTCCGTGTTGTATCCCATGTCCGTGTCTGTGCTTCATAAGTTTTAATAATATATCACATCAATTTTCGTTAGTTTATTTATTTATTTATTGTTTGTGTTTGGTGTTTCAGGGGAACCACTTTGTGTACTATGCCAAAGGTTAGGTGTGTACTCAATCTTTCCCTTCCCAAATACATATTAATGTATATTAGTTGGGCGTTAATATTTGTGTTTGATGTTTGTGTAAATTTACATATTTGATTAATGAAATTTATTATTAATATAAGCATTCTTGTATATTTTGCTCAAACGTTTTTTTTTTAATCTTAATAAGTAAATTTATTTAAGTTTAATTTTTTTTTTTTCAAGCTCGAGCCCGTTCTCGAACTTGGCTCATTTATGTAATCGAGTTGGCTCGAGCTGAACTCGATACTTTAAGCTGGACCTGAGCTTGAGCTCAACTAATTCTTAATAAACAAACTTGAATACTCAAAGCTTGACTCGGCTCGGCTCATTTGCAACCCCACTCCAAACATAGGACGTGTGTTTGTGAAATGTCTTGTAAAAAAATAAAATAATAAAATAATTGACATGCCATGTGGTGGACGCACGCATCCTTGAGGTGTCTGTGTCCTATACCTATCTGACACGGACAGGATGACCATTTTGAAGTTTTCGTATTTCATAGCTTACAACCAATACCTCGGTAGAATTTTCACCTTGAACTCTTGTACTTCCCGGCAAGTTGCCAATGTTATTCTCAAAGATGCTAAATCTTAACTTGTGCCCTTGTTGACTAATTTGCTCTCACCATTGTGTATTTCTCATAAACAAGAGTCATACAGTAAAGGTCAATAGTTATGCCTTCTATAATTATTATTCAGTGCATATCTGAGTTTCCATATTTGGATGTGTGTATGCATGTTCTTCATTTCGTCTTCATATTTTCACCGGTCTTGAGAACAAGTTAAAATTCTTGCCAGGCACCTCAGGCGGGATTTGAGGTTCTATCTCAAACAAATATCTTCCAAGGTGGCATTAATTCATGATAACTTGTCTGTGGAAGTTTTCAGATCTTATACTACTACTCGTACGGACAATGTGGAACGTAGGGTGGTCTATTCTATCTCCAAGCCTGTTCCACTGTCGGCTGTTCAAGATAATGAGAACAATGAGCAGTCTGTTATCTCTTGCAGAAGTTGCTCTGCATCCATGACTTCCTCGAAAAGTTCTGCTATACTTGAGAACAACTTGACATCTTCATTTACGCACAGGTCACGGGAGCATCACTTTTCATCCGGTGATTTGGGATCTACTTCAAAGCAAGAAAAATCAGGTCAAAAAGCTTCTTGTGACTTTAAATTGGTTAAAAAATCATACTGTGTTTATATTTGACTGCCGAGTCTGAAATGCATAGTTCCTATGCTATGCACTTTAGCAGTGCTTGAGGTATTACCTCTATTGAGTATGACACTTGACATTCTTTTAGCTTCCTTAAGCGAGCACATGCACAAGGCTTCTTAGAAGATAGCACTCAACCAACCGATGAAATTGTTTTCCCGAGGAATGTTTTTTCACGGACATTGTTTTGAGTATGCTACCATCGATAGAAAAATAACTTGTTTAGCTGCCTTTTATAAGATGAAATCAATATTTGAGTTATTTGCCAAGTAAGTTGATTTCGTAGATGCATTCTTTAAGGGGAAAATATGGCCAGTCAGCCATATGTAGAAGTGAAAAATTATAACAGTCATCTGTACCTGATTAGTTATAATACAACATTGACTTTCGTATAGATTCATTGTCTAGCTGTAGAAACATTCTTATGCAGTGATTTTAACAACTAGAGAGTAATGACCTCAATTAGGTGTTGATATCCAATATAAACAGAAGGTGCCAAACATGGTAACTTTTAAGGGAAGTGTACTGAACCCGAGTCCTGATGCATAAATATTGCTTTCCATTAACGAAACAAATTTTAGAGAAAAAAGATATGATGGGGTTACGCTAGTTAGATGATTGAGTGCAAGTTGTCATGCATGTAATGGATAGGATCATATGATTAGTTTGGGTAGGACTAAACTAAGAACACTTATTGTTTTCTGCCAGTTTTCTTGTAACTCACGAGGAATTGCCCTCTAGTGTAAAATACCGCGTGCATAGACCCGGACACTAGACACGAACACATACGGAGCAAGATATGGAACGATATTACTATATTTATATATCTTATATGCATATAATTTAAGAAAGGGTAAATTACAAATACACCCTTGATTTGCATAAATTACATATTCCTCCCCTTGTGGTTCTAGAACCTGTTCTTTCAAATTTCTAATCCCATAACAAATGACTATTTTATTAAAAAAATTTCAAGTCAATTAACAATTTTTAATGATATTAGAAATATATTTTAATTAACAAATCAGGTAATTTTATTACTGTATAGGATAGTAGCTAGAAAATTTATTTATTTATTTTTGTTAATTTTGTTATATAAATGTTTTTAACAAGACGGTATTTGTAATTTTCAGAACCATAGGGAACAATTCGTATTTGAAGTAAATCTCAAGATGTGTATTTATAATTTTCCTTGTAAAGAAAGTATCTAAGTTAATTAGTATTGTTTATAACAGTAATTCAATTTATTATATGAATGTTTCTACCTAAATACCAAAATGTGAAAAATGAAGCTCCAAAGTATCAAGTATAAAGTTATAATACAACATTGACTTTCGTATAGATTCATTGTCTAGCTGTAGAAACATTCTTATGCAGTGATTTTAACAACTAGAGAGTAATGACCTCAATTAGGTGTTGATATCCAATATAAACAGAAGGTGCCAAACATGGTAACTTTTAAGGGAAGTGAACTGAACCCGAGTCCTGATGCATAAATATTGCTTTCCATTTCTCAATTACTATTATTATTATTATTATTACTATTTAGCTTTTGAATTTTAGAAATTGTCCATTGATACTTTACTGATATTACTTTTAGAGTGCTAAAGCTTGTGACTTTGAGAAATGCATGGATTTTCGAAGACATTCAGGGACGTGGATGCTTTGTGAGAGGAAGTTCGAAGTTTGGCATCTTTTTGGGTCTAAATGTTTCCACCGTTTGTAGAGATCCAACTTTTCTTGAAATCTAGTGATGGGATGGCCATTTGTGTAAAACATGATTTCTTGCCTTTGGGTCATTTTTGTTTGATAGTGCAGGACCTCTTGTCCTCCTTTGTACTGTTTTGATTTTTATAGAATAAAATCATTTTTTAATCATTTTTTTTAAAAAAATTTTATGGATGCTTACATTAATTTATATAATAAATGTCTTGTGTACATATAATATTCATCGTACTAATAATGATGTTAACAAATCCTACAACTTATTCATGACATTTATCATATTATTCAAGTAGGTTTTGTTTCAAATTTCAAAATTTTATATTATTTATCACATCAATTAATAAGAAAATTATAAAATTTATTAATTTATAAAACATCACTAAGCTTGTGGCCTTGGCTCACTAGGAAAATTCAAAAAATTCTCTGTACAAAAGGACTCAAATTTTCAAATGCCAAATAAGATGGGCCTCATCTTGATGTTTGGTTTAACACTTCAAAATCCCTGACACTTCATTTGGATTGTGAGGTGAGAAAAAAAAGAAAAAGAAAAAGTAAATGATTGTAATTTTTCACCCAGGTGAGAAGAAAAGAAAATGATAGTGATTTCTCATCTTTTTGTTTGGAAGAACATTGATTAAAAGATGATACATGTGTCTTTTTATTTTATTATTTTGTATCTAGAGGGGTAATTTGGTGAAAATGAGATTCAATCATTTCATTAAATTTGGATCAAATCAATTTTTTACTAAACATTTAATTAAACCAAGTATGCATCACAATTTTTGCCAACTTTTAACAATTATTTTTTCACTTAAGTTTAATAAATTGTTAAAAAATGAAAATTTGAAAAAGTTTTTTTTTTTCCCAGGTAAAGTGGTTAAAAAAGATTTTTAGTATAGAACATTATTTTTTCCTCCAACTAAATTGGTTTAGACTTTTCTAATAAATTGACGGTGTTGATTGATAGTAGTGTGTGAAAATAAAAAGAGTACAAGAGTAAAAGGAATTTTTTTTTTTAATATAATGATTTATACTTGTCATCAATATATTTTATTATTGATGTCAAAACAGATCAATCATTGGATTTAGAATTCATTTGGGAATTAATTTTTCAGGCAATTTTTAAATTTTTCACAAAAGAAAGAGTAAAAAAAATTTTAAAGAATAAATTGACTTTTAATTTTTGACTAATTTAACTAGTTTCCTAACAAGGCCTTAATATAATCAACAATGATTCATCCCCCTTTTCCCCCACTCCTTTTGACCCCCTCTCTCTCTCATTGGTTACTTTTTCTTTTTCTTTTTTTTTCCTGCTCCGCCAATCACCACCCGCCATGTGGCAAAGGGAGGTGAGGGGGTGACCCCCAAAAGGGGGTCCTAAGCATTATTCTAATATAATATTACTTATCATCAATAGGGATGGAGAGATGCTCTGAATAGCCCAAACAACCTGGAGGGTGATGCACACAATGTTTGGATAGCTAGGAGAGAAAAGAAAAGAAATTTGGAGGGTGATGTACACTACATTTGGATAGTTAGGAGAGAACAGAAAAGAAAAGAAAAGAAAAAGTTTATTAAGGTGATATTCGATAAAATTGAAAATTGAATGTTAAATTTTTTAAATTGAAAAGTTGTTTGATAAAAAATTAATTGCTAAACTAAAATAAATTGTTTTATTATACAAAATTAAATTTAAAATTTATTAATTTTAAATTATAACTTCTAATTTTTATATTGTAATGGCGGCAGCGCTAATGGCAATGGTGGTGGAGGCAAAGACATAGTGGTTATGATGATGGTAAAGAGAAAATTGTAGGAACAATCTTCTGTGTAAAAAAAAAAAATTACTTGAAACAATCAAATAAATAACTTACAGAATTTATTTTACCGGAATAAATAAGTACAAAAATAGATCAAGTTAGATCAAGTCAAGTGTATGACACTCTGTCCTTAAGACAGATTCGTCCCGCTTCGGTGCTTACAAATAAAAGGCATCTATCTCCCAGGATACAATGATCTTTTACATAAATTGTACTAGTCCAAACAATCTGTACAGCGAACAAAAAAAAAACTTGTGTTCTATACTCTTAGAATTTTTCCTAAGAACTAGTATAAAGAACAATGCACACAAAGAGCAAAATCGGGAAGACAATAATTTTTCTGGATGTTTGTGATTGTGAAAATTTGCTGGAATGAGACTTCTATTTATAGGACAAATGGTGACTGTTCAGAAATTCCGAACAGGTATGAAATCAACCGAACAAGTACAGATTTGAAACTGAACAGATACAGTTTGAAATGAACAAATACAAACTTCAAATTGAACAAGTGCGGATTGTTTGCACCTACTAGATCGGTTCAACTTGTTTGAACTTTCTGGACCATTGGAAATGGACTTGAGGAGCATTGCTTTTGGATAGAAAAAATTGAATTCAAATTTGAATTAATTTTGTTTAGAAAAAATAAATTTCCCGCAAGAATTTTTGGAAAAAATTGAAATAAATTTTGTCTAAAAAATTAATATTAGAATCGACTTAATTCACAACTTACACCTGCGTTCGGCGGCGGCGGCACGCGCTTGTGTGGTGTTTTGGGCTAAGGCCTATTTTGTCCATCCCTGAGGCTCAACCCAAGTGTTGCCACTTAGAACTTATATATATACATAAGTTCTCTTAAGTTTCCAATATGGGACAAGCCTTACAAGGTAATCCACATTTTATTCTTTAATTGTTTATTTCACGAACGCGAAAATGACATCAACTTCCCATTCACTCATAAATGGTTTTGACGATCCGTCTTTACTGTGTGACTTGCTATGACTTGCTATGCGGCAAGGAACACGTCACATCTTTGGACCCACCTCAAAAAATGTGTGGGACCCACTTTAATTTGGGCTCAAAGTTGGCTCAAAATAAGCCTATAAAATCATAAATTTCAACAATAATATAGTGGAGGTAAAAAAAGGTGGCTGTGGTAGTGTAATAATAGTGGTGGTTATGGTATCAGTAACCATAGTTGTAGAGGTGAAAAGTAGTTATAATGGTGGTGGAGAGATGGTTGTAATGCGATAGTAACTATGGTGGTGGTGGTGTGGTAGTAGCAGTGAAATGGTGGTAATTCTTATGTAACAATGACAAAAGTAGAGGAGGTGGTGGTGATGGTAGTAGCAGATAGTGTGGTGGCGACACTAGTGGCAATGGTATGACTGGTAATGGTGGCGGAGGGGTGGTGACAGCGGCAACAGCGATAGGAGTGGTGGTAGTGATGGAGGCGTCAATAAGGTTATAACCATGTATGTCACACATGTGCATAATTATTTATAAAGACATAATCTAGTATGTTTCCTATCTCTTAAATTTTTCTTAGCTTTTAGCCTATATTTTAAGAGCCACTTAAAATTATAAGCAATACCAATTATGGTTATCAAATTAGCTTAATTGATTTTCACTTAATTTATTCAATTTTAAGTATTGAATTAGGCTATCAAACACCAAATAAGTTAGGAAATAAAATAGGGTAAATTACACTAACTCCCCCTGAGGTTTGGTCTAATTACATCCCACTCCTTGACGTTTTGAAAATTACATTCTCACCCCTGTGGTTAATAGTCTCATTTCACAAACCCCCTGCTTATATAAAATATAACAACTCTTAGTAGAAAACAGAGGAAATTACATTGGAAAAAAAAAGTAAAGCAAAGGAAAGGAAAAAAAAAAGAAAAGAAAAAAAAAAAGGAAGTAAAGCAAAGTAAGAAAAGAGAGTGTATCAGGTCAATGTCATTCCGTCTAAATAATTACAATGGTAGGGGGAGTTAGTGTAGTTTTCCAAACATAAGGGGGTGATATGTATTAAATCTAAATCTCAGGAGTGTAAGTGTAATTTACCCAAGAAAATAAAAAAGGAAATAAGGTTAAGATTTCTCTTCCTCTTGTTTAATTAAGCTGGAGAAAAGAAAAAAAAAGAAAAAAATTATGGTAGCGTTTGATGAGTTTGTGAGTTTTTGAATTATGATTTGAATGTGGAAAATTTGTTTGGTTATGAGTTTTGAAAAGAGTTTTGAATTGAGTTTGAAATGAATGATGTGATATATGATATTTGATTTAAAAACTTACAATTCATAACCAAATACACAACCCAAAATTTTATTCAAAGCTCATAAAAATTTTAAAAAAATTCTGAAAATATTTTTTATTTAAAATATAAAAGTAACAAGTGCAAAAAAAAAAGAAAAAAAAAAAGAAACACTGTTCCGGTTAACTGGCAGAACGTTTGGAGGATGACCGGGTAGACGTGTTTTGGAAAGTGGATGTGAAATTAATTTTTAAAAGCACTAACTAAACACGAAACTCAAACGAAGAAGTGGAATTAATTTTTCAGAGCCTTATTAAACATAGCCTATATATTTTTTTCCAATCTTGTTTGGATACATTATTGGGAAAGGTTATTATGTGCACCATTTTTGAAGTGTATATGGTATGAACTTTATGCAAAAACACAACTTTTATCAAAAAAATAAGAAAATTTTATTATATACACTCGCATATCATATTCACTCTTAGTTATGTTATTTTCTTCTTTAGTTATGACCAATTTTGTTCTTTAGATATGACATTATTTTGGGATATTTGGTTATGAATTTTTTGTGTTTGGTTATGAGCTTTTTTTTTTTTTTTTTTTAAAAAAAAATTTATAGTCATGACTAAGAAAGTATGGAGTTATACCATTTTCTTCTAATCTTTCCCAAAAAATAAAGTTGTTTTGGGAATTAGCTATTATAGTTAATTTTTTTGACTTTTTACAAAAAAAAAAAAAAGTACAAAAAATAGGAAAAATAGTTGACTTTTTGATAATGATTTTTAACTATATTAGTAGAGGAAAATTCTACTTACACAACATATTTACCTTTTTACACTCTCCATTTTAGAACTTTTTTTTTTCAATTTTACCAATGTGTGAAATTACCTTTAAGGACAAAAGATAAAAATTAAATATATTTGATTATCTCTATACACCTATTACACTTCAATCACTATTTCTTTTCTTCCTTTCTCATTTCTTCTTCTCTATACTATACATTTACTTTAAAAAAGTGAGAATCATAGTATTCTAATCATAAAAGAAAGGTATGGACGAAAAAATTGTGATGAAAGATAAGCATA